TGCGCAGCGCTGGGCCTTGGCAGTGGTCGGTCAACCTGGGCCATGCTCTCCACCAGGCCCAGCGGCCCCTGTGGCTCTCTGCAGTCCAAGCCGTTCCAATCCAACGGGCCCTAGCTTCTTCGAGGCCCAGACCCTGGGCCTGGAGGCACCATCGTTGGGCCTCCAATTCTTTCGGCCTCTCAACTGGGACTGATCACTGACTCACTGATGGCCAGCCAACCGACCCACTGCTCGCGGCTTCCTCCCTCGTCGACGAACTGTGACTGATCGGAGACAGAGGTCGGCCCCGGCCCGGCGTCGGCGATGGGCGCCGTGAGCCCTCCGCTGCCGTTCCCGCACCTGCACCACCAGGGCCGGGACCCGGACCACCTGCTCCGCCTGGTGGACGAGCTCTGCGCGTCCGGCCGCTCCACGGAGGCGCACCGCCGCGCGTCCCTGCTCCTCCTCTCCCCGGCGTGCCGCCTCGACGCGCGAGCCGCCGACGCGATCCTGCGCCGCCTCCTGCTCGCCGACACGCCACTCCTCACGCTCCGCCTCCTCCAATTGCTGCCCACCGCGCCCTCCCTCCCCAACCGCAACCGCCTGCTCGCACACCTCTGCCGCGCGGGGCACGTCCTCCTCGCGCACCGCCTCCTCCTCCGCATGGGCGCGGCTCCGGACGCCGTGTCCTACGCCGCGCTCCTCGACGGGTACGCGCGGGTGCCCGACCCTCGCGCCGCGCGGAGGCTGCTCGACGAAATGCCCGCCCGCGGGGTCGCGCCCACCTCCCTCGCGCGCTCGTTCCTCGCCAAGGCGCTCCTCCGCGCCCGCGACGTCAACGCGGCGATGGAGCTCGTCGACACCACCCTCTGGCCCAGCGCGGCGGCGGGCGGCGATCGGCTCGGGGACGGCGGGGAGGACCAGGAGATCACCAACGCCGCGTTCGCCAACCTCGTGCAGTGCCTCTGCGCCGAGGGGTTCTTCCACGTCGTGTTCCGGGTCGCCGAGGAGATGCCGCAGCAGCGGTGCGGCGTGGGCGACGACTTCGCGTACGCGCAGATGATCGACTCTCTGTGCCGGGCCGGGCAGCACCACGGCGCGTCCAGGATCGTGTACATCATGAGGAAGAGAGGGATGCGCCCCAGCGACGTCTCCTACAACTGCATTGTTCACGGGCTGTGCACCAGCCCCAAGCCCGGTGCCTGCCTAAGAGCGCACCAGCTGGTGATGGAAGGCACGAGTTTCGGGTACCACCCGAGGGAGGTGACGTACAAGGTGCTCGTGGACGAGCTGTGCCGGGAGAATGAGCTCGCCAAGGCCAAGGATATCCTGGAGCTGATGCTGCAGCCCACCGTTCAGTGTGGCCAGGACAGTAGTGGAGATGTGGGTGAGGAGACCAGGACAAGGCTATACAATGTGTTTCTTGGGGCACTGGGTGAGGAGACCAGGACAAGGATATACAATGTGTTTCTTGGGGCACTGCGTGTTGTGGACAACCCGAGCGAGCAGCTTGGCGTGCTTGTGTCCATGCTGCAGGCTGGATGCAAACCGGATGTGATCACCATGAACACTGTCATCCATGGCTTCTGCAAGTGTGGGAGGACCCAGGAGGCAAGGAGGATCATGGACGACATGCTCAGTGGGAAGTTTTGTGCTCCTGATGTTGTCACCTTCACCACACTCATATCTGGATACCTGGGTGCAGGTGGTCATGCAGAGGCCCTTGAGGTGCTGCACTCTTTGATGCCTAGGCGTCGGTGCTCCCCAACTGTTGTTACTTACAACTGTGTCCTCAAGGGATTGTTTGGCATTGGGCAAGTTGATACAGCAATTCAGTTGCTTGAGGAAATGAGTGCCAATAAGATCTCTGCTGATTCTGTGACTCATACTGTTGTGATCAAAGGGCTCTGTGATGCAGGGCTGGTCGAGAAGGCAAAGGAATTCTGGGACAATGTCGTCTGGCCGTCAGGGATACATGACAACTATGTATACAGTGCAATCTTCAGAGGTCTCTGCAAACAGAGCAAACTGGAACAGGCGTGTGATTTCATGTACGAGTTGGTGGATTGTGGGGTTGCTCCCAGTGTAGTGTGCTACAACATACTCATAGACGCTGCCTGCAGGCAGGGATCAAATAAGTTAGCATATCAGTTAGTTAAGGAGATGAAAAGAAATGGACTAGCACCAGATGCTGTTACTTGGAGGATTCTTAGCAAACTACATCACTATGACAAGGAAAAACAAGAAGGGAACCATCATCGAACGTTTGATGTGGATCGAATTTCTACAGAAGACAGAGTGGAGCCTCTCGTCTTGACTAAAGATATGATGCCTTTGCTGCCATCTTCTGAAAATTTTTGTGAAGTTAATGAGGATTATAACGCAGCTGAGTCTGAGGAAGAGATTGGCTATTTAAAAGATATGGCTAGTAAAGCTGAAAGCCGGACAGGAGTGAATCAGAAACTGGAGTTATGGCGGGAGACTTTGGAGTCCAAAGGTTTTAGACTTAGCAGAACTAAAACTGAGTATATGAGATGTGACTTCCGCACTACTACTCGGGAGGAGGAAGATGTTAGTTTGGAAGGTCAAGTAGTGCCTAGGAAGGAAACCTTTCGATATTTAGGATCAATGCTACAGAAGGACGGGGACATTGATGAAGATGTTAGCCATAGAATCAAAGCAAGGTGGATGAAGTGGCGGCAAGCGTCTGGTATCCTATGTGACAAAAGGGTACCACAGAAGCTAAAAGGCAAGTTTTATAGGACGGCAATTAGACCTGTTATGTTGTATGGTGCAGAATGTTGGCCTACGAAAAGACGACATGTTCAACAGCTAAGTGTCGCGGAAATGCGTATGTTGCGTTGGATTTGCAGTCATACAAGAAGGGATCGAGTTCGGAACGATGATATACGTGATAGATTAGGGGTAGCGCCAATTGAAGAAAAGCTTGTCCAACACCGGTTGAGATGGTTTGGACATGTGCAACGGAGACCCCCAGAGGCACCGGTGCGTAGTGGAATCCTAAGCCAGGATAATAACGTGAAGAGAGACAGAGGAAGACCGAAGTTGACTTGGGTAGAGGCAATAAAAGGAGACTTGAAATGATGGAATATACCCAAAGACTTAGCCTTAGATAGGAGTGCTTGGAAGACAGCTATTCACGTGCCTGAACCTTGATTGCTTCTGATGGGTTTCAACTCTAGCCTACCCCAACTTGTTTGGGACTTAAAGGCTTTGTTGTTGTTGTTGTTGTTGTGGCTAGTAAAGCTGAAGCCGAGGATGTTGGATACTCAACAAAAATTATCGTGGAGGAAGCACCAGATAATACTAATGCAACCAAAGAACAGGGAAATTGTCTGATGGATAATCTAACAAGGGGAACAACAATTGACAAGGGTGATATAACTTGGGAAGATGGCCTTAAGAACTCAAATAACCAACATTCAGTAAGAGAGCCACTCTCTACAGTGGCAAAAAAGGTGTTTGGGCTATTGTAGAACAGGTGTTCCATCTATCCTCCCTGAAATAGATCAGCTAACTGAAACTCTTTCTGCTCATGAAATATATTCGCCATCTGGAGTTAACATTTCCAGAAACATAGGGTTCCTTTAATACTGCCCCGTTTCTCTTTCTGGTCGTCAGATTTAATGTTATGCCTATTATATATATCTTGTATTGAACTATTGATGCAAGGTTTCTGATGATCTAAGTAGAAAAAGCAATAGCATAGCAACACATTTTTCTGGGCCATTGTAGTGTAAAAATGAATCCAATAGTCATAAGTGCACAACGGCAAGTCGGCAATGCTAGTCTGTTACAGTCCGGAGCAATTTCCTTTGGTGCTCTGATCGGGGACCTCTCTGATTTTTGAAGATCTGCGTGCAACCCTGTAGCCGGGCTAAATGGCTACAATATGTGCTTTATGTCTGACATCGGTGGTTGTTGGTTGTAGGAACAGAGCCGCATCGTCTGCATAACACCTTTGCTTTTGGATACATCATATCCGGGAGTATCTTTTCTTTTTAATATAGGATAGGATGTGTCCGAGACTCGGAGTGTCTCATATTGATGTTATATATATATATATATATATATATATATATATATCACATTACATCTCAAGACTAGAAAGAACAAACCGGGCAGTATTAAAGGTGTCACGTTACATCAATATGGTGATCTCAGATTGCATACCTTCCTTTGCAATAGCAGTGATAAGAGAAGAATCGGCACTTATTTTCCACTTTCGCTTCCAAACTGTGTCCCAATTCTGAACGGCATACTTCATAACTGTATATTCAACATTTTGGATAGGTGCCAATTCTCTTCAGAAACCAGATAGCTAGGAGGCGCTTAATTAAGTGTCTGTACAACCGGATGATCCTTCCTTGTTCATGTCTTCATGTTCTTCAATTTGTTTACAGCTACCAAGCTTACAGTATCCTATTTTGCTGAATCAAGAGCTCTGAATTGATTACAGGATTCCATTTTGCTGTTTTGGATTACCAGGTACAAGTTCAGCAAACCTTTCTCCTACATGCTGCTCCTACAAATCATAGGATGCTCAAATTTGCCTGAGAACCCCAAATTTGCCTGTCGGTGTAGAAAGAAACAAACCAAAGCAGATACAGATAATCAGCAACTCTCTAAGCTCCCTAGTTAAATTACTATCGACAATGTTCAGTACATCCAGAATTCAGACCACCAGTGAGAAGGCAACAAGAATTCAGGAACTGGACACAAGTTTCACACCAGCAGCAAGGAACATCACCTTTGGCCCCAACCAGAGTATAAAAATATTAAGAAATGCAAGAAATCATGCACATTACACTTCTCTGTTCACAACATAACTTGTACAGAGACTCAGTAGGGCACTCTGATGTTGAGGCAGCCAAATGTAAGGATTCTTCAAATTAACCATCCAAAATTCACCACAGCATAACATAAGGGCAGTTGCAAAACTACGGGTACAAGTATCAAAATTCAACGAGTTCAAAACTAAGATATAAGTGTAATGCACTCTAATCTTCTTCCTCGCCCTCATTCTCGGCGATGTTGAAGTACCGGAGCTCATAGACACTGCGGTCCTTGTTGGCTGCAATCACGCGTAGCCAATCCCTCACGTTATGCTTCTTCAAGTACTTCTTGGTCAAGTACTTCAGGTACCTGGTGACAACGGATAATGATACAATCAGACTAAACTGAACAAATTCAGTATGTTATATTGGATAGTAACAAACAGCAATTAAGTTTTGATTGTTCCGTCAAGTAGTTAAGGGTAAACAGAAAAAGATTCAAGTCCATACATTTGCTAAACATAATGCCTCGAGCATTCTTGCTAAATAATGGTGTCAATGGAATATTCTCGTATAAACATCTGCTAATCCCTCGTTCCCAAAAGAGTGCAATTGTCACTTCACAAGAAGTGAACCAATTTAAAGTTTGACCTAATCTATAAAAAACATTAACATCTATGAAACCAAATAAGAATTGATAGATGAATTATGAATGTATTTTCATACAAAACCTATTTGGTGATATAAAAATTGATTTTTTTATAAACTTGGTCCAACTTGAAATCGATTGACTTCTTAGAAAGTGAGAATTGCACTCTTTTTTTTTTGGACAGAGGGAGTAAACCGAAAATTTGAATAGCTGTTTTCAATCAGCAAAAGTGCATAAAAGAACCACAGATATATGCTAAAATTTGCAAAAGAACAGCCATTTCCATTTGCAATCACACAGGGTTAAATATAGGCTACACCAAACCTTTGGGCGTCCGCATTGACAGAACTATATGTACAGAAGCTTACTGCTAATTAGTAATAAGCGAAATTACTCCTCATCACGAAAATCAAAGTGAACCACATAATTGAACTGGAAAATAAGTTTCTACAACCTAGCAATATCATGAACATACACAGCAGAAACTACACAGATCTACACAAGTATATTCACGACATTTAGGGGCAAGAAGCAGTTAAGGGTGGTATACCTCTTGGAGAAGGGCCCGTCGGAGGTGACGGTGACCTTCGTCTTCTCGCGGGAGATGGTGACGGAGTCGCCGAGGCTACCGGCCTTGCCGCCAGCGACCTTGATGCGCTCCTGCAGGAACTTCTCGAGCGAGGCGATCTCCATGATCTTGTCCTCCACGGGCTTGGTGCAGTCGATCGTGAAGGCGACCGACCCCTTCTTCTTGCCCGCGGCCCCGCCGCCCTTCGCCGCAGCCACGCCGCGCGCCATCGCCCCTCCCCTTCCTCGGCTTGGTGGTCGAGTGGGTCGTGAGGTGTGGCGGCTAGGGTTTTCCGAGACGAGAGAGGGTGCCGATGCGGCTGGCGAGATATATATAGGCTACGTGGGCTGCCATTCGAGCGCGGCGAGTTGGCGGGCCGGTTTGATGGAGCGGACAGCGGAGTGATTTGGTTGGGCTGGTATTGGGCCGTTGCGTTCTGATGATGATTCACTCGGGCCCAGTAGAGAATGGAGCACTCTTATTTGGTTGAGCTTTCTAGTTGCGTTCTTTTGGGTTCGGCTGCGTTTAATGGATTGAAATGGCCCACTCGATTAACATTTCTATCTTTCTTTTTCTATGTTTGGTTTTTTGGAAGTTCTTTCCTCTTGACGGTTTTTTTAAATATAAACCCAAGAGATAGAGAGCATTAAAAAAAAGATATAAACCCAAGAGAATCATACCAATAGCTAAATGGAGAACATTCTGCTGAACTCAACTTATGCCATGTTCGCTTGGCTTATAATCCGTACTTTTTCAGCGAACGAACAGTATTTTCCTCTCGCACCAAATCAACCATGGCTTATCAGCCAAAGCGAATAGGGCATTAGACAGACAGCTAAATCGGTGTGACGACTGATGATGTATACCGAGCGGCCGATTAAAAAAAACATTTATTTCATTTCAAGACATTCAGGGAAACACATGCATGGTACCATCTGCATCCACAACAACATTCGAAGTGCAGGTTTCAGCAGCTTACATTACATTACATAGAAAAGCAGGCAAAGGTTCGCCTAACTTCCCACAGAATGCCATAGGCAAAATTATTTGATTAGAAAATAACACCCACCAACACTAGCTACTCTTTTTGTGGGCTGCTATTGCTATCACTATCAGATGATAGGAACTGCTTTGCATATTGGTGAACTTTCGACCCTGACCCTTGTTGATGATCGTAGTACTCCACCAGCGCAGACCCACCCAAGGCAGCCAGTGTGAGAGCCTGAGCGTGCAGCCTGCCAAAGAAATTGAGATTTAGGTTGCCTTGGGTTAGTATATTCATTCAATCGCATGGAAATTCTTTAGCTTTCAGTAAATGCATACATCAATTTCGTTCGTCAGAATAAATTCAAGCCCAAGGTAGGGGATTCTCGTTTTAACTTTCTGTACATGAATTATTATACTGTGCACAAATGAGCAAACCATGATTAGTGCATATAAGAGTGGACATGTATGGTAAAGACTAGTTTTTTATTAAAAAAGGGGAACTGAAATTGCTAGCATAAGAGCAGTGCACCAATTAGAAATGGAGATATCGCTGCTAGGGATATATAATTAAAACAGACACAGCAAAACGTGTTGATGTACGGGACATCAGTTGACGGCAATAATATGTCAAGCTGGTCTATATATGCAGATACATTAATGGGTGGGGAAATATCCAAAAGATTAACAATTGATATTTTTTAATGCAATTAAGGTAATTTATTTAAATGCAACTGAAATAGTAAGCAATTTATTGGTTCGGTGAATAGCCAGTGGGGAAATATCCAAAAGATTAACATATCCATGGCATTATTCATGGAAACCCCTAAAAATAGCCATTAGAATAGGTTCACTGAATATGTATCCAAAATCTAACTAGCCTGTACCACCCTCCACCGGCCTTGTTCTGCACTCGACACTGATTATCTATGCCTAATGCTGATAGTGTGATACCAGTTAATCCTCAATGATGGAAAAGAGCAAAGCTTTCTGTGCAACACAATCTGCTACCATAACTGCTAGTTTCTGAGAAGCTACAGTTTCCTGAAGCAGAGAGGCACAAAGTTTAGTCAACACATGTTGTACCACCTGCTTGGTCTATTCAACACAAAGGAATACATTTTTTTTTACCCGAGAAAACACATATGAATTCTATACCACCACATCCACAATCCTACAATGTCAAGTACATGTTTAGAGATGCATCATTCTTGCAAAGTTTAGAATGGCATACACTGGGAAAAAAGTATTAATGAACCGTCAAATATCAGAAATGCAAAGAGAAATTATTCCCCCAGAGTTTGCTCCAAGAAATACTAAGGCTACACGTACACCTATTTATTTTGGAAGGCTCCAATATTCTGAAGTAATAGTGGATAAATTGGACATGGATAGCAGCACAATCAGGAAAGTTGTTTCAGCACCCTTCTGGCCTTCTGATCTACTAGTTCCTTACCAATGCCCTCAAATGCATACCAGATAAAAGCAGGCCAGTGTAATTCTCTACCTCTTTTGTTGAAGTAAAAAATCATACAACTACCAACTTAATGGATATGCTTGGTATGTAGTAGTTTGAATATGAAGCAACTTAGGGTGCATTTGGGAGGAATCTAGATTCTCATACAAACGTTTTTTCAGGAAACGTTTCAAATGGTGAATAATAAGAATCACTTTGTGGAATTGTTTGGTTAATAGGCTGGATTTTGATTCAGAAAAAAGAGTTTTTTCATAAAAGAATCATATAAATGAAAAAATGCTAACTTCGCCTATGTTGTCTCAACATAGTAGATCCCAAGCCCTGGTAAAGGAGGAGGGTTGTGATAGGCGTGGCGAGCCAACGTTAAATCTAGCCATTCTAATGGAGATGAAACCCGAAAAAAAACCGTTGGGCATAACCCTCTTAGCGACGCGCCATATCGGAACCGGTATGGTGTTAAATGGGCAAGGGCCGGGTCGGCACCCCCTTGGTGACGCGCCGTGTCACAATCTAGGCATGGTGTCAAGTGAGCAAGGATCGGGTCGTCGCTTCCTTAGTGGCGCGCTACATCGGCGCCCGGGTGTAGTGAAAAATGAGCAATGGTCTTCACATCTGAGTCGATGGGTGCGAAGGGTAAGGAAGCTAGTCGAACCAACTAGGATCCGTTTAGGTAGTTGGAATGTAGGGTCGCTTACAGGTAAATTAAGAGAATTAGTTGATACCACGACTAGGAGGCGTGTAAATATATTATTCGTTTAAGAGACTAAATGGAAGGGTCAGAAGGCGAAGGAGGTGGACAATACAGGTTTCAAGCTTTGGTACACAGGGACAGTCACGAATAGAAGTGGAGTATGAGTTTTGATTGATAAGAGCCTCAAGAATGGTGTGGTGGGAGTGAGAAGGCAAGGGGATAGGATTATCTTAGTCAAGCTTGTCGTTGGTGATATGGTCTTGAACGTAATTAGTGCGTATGCCTCCCAAGTAGGTCTCGACAAGAGTGCTAAGAGACAGTTCTGGGAAGATTTAGATGGTCTGATTAGAGCTGTACCTAATAGTGAGAAGCTTTTTATAGGAGATCTTAATGGGCATGTAGGTACTACAAGCGTAGGTTTCGAGGCAGTTCATGGAGGTTTTGGTATGGTAGTAGGAATCAGGAGGCGGAGGAAGTTCTGGACTTCGCGGTAGCTTTTGACCTGATGATAGCCAACACTTTCTTTTGAAAGAGAGAATCTCATCTAGTGACCTTCAGTAGCGGACAACACTCTAACCAGATTGACTTTGTCCTCGCAAGAAGAAAGGACAAACGAGCATGCTTGGGTTGCAATGTGATACTAGGGGAGTGTGTTGTTTCTCAACATAAGCTTTTGGTGTCCTATGTGACAAAAGGGTACCACAGAAGCTAAAATGCAAGTTTTATAGAACGGCGATTAGACCTGCTATGATGTATGGTGCAGAATGTTGGCCTACGAAAAGACGACAGGTTCAACAGATAAGTGTCGCGGAAATGCGTATGTTGCGTTGGATTTGCGGTCATATAAGAAGGGATCGAGTTCGAAACAATGATATACGTGATAGATTAGGGGTAGCACCAATTGAAGAAAAGCTTGTCCAACACCGGTTGAGATGGTTTGGACATGTCCAACGGAGACCTCCAGAGGCACCGGTGCATAGTGAAATATTAAGCCAGGATAGTAACGTGAAGAGAGGCAGATGAAGACCGAAGTTGACTTAGGTAGAAGCAATAAAAGGAGACTTGAAAGGATGGAATATATCCAAAGACTTAGCCTTAGATAGGAGTGTTTGGAAAACAGCTATTCACGTGTCTGAACCTTGATTGCTTCTGCTGGGTTTCAAGTCTAGCCTACCCAACTTGTTTGGGACTTAAATGTTTTGTTGTTGTTGTTGTTGTATAAATGAAAATATGCTTCAAAAAATTTGAGAACTTTTCGTGGGCAAAGAACAACTTAAATACAATCCATTTTAACTCGTTGCACTTAAAATGGATTAACTAAAAAAATACGATTGCTAGTGCACAGAAGAAGCAAGAAACAGAGAATCGGGCAAAACCACTCCCCGGCCGTTTCACGTGCATAGGCAAAAAAGCGAGAATCGTTTCAGCTGTTTCTGGAGATTCTGGCGTCTCTGGATAGAACCCGAAACGTTTTGACCAGCCAAACGGTCCCTTAATTGACGCAAGACGCGTGGCCTAATGTGCCTCAAACACCGCATTCACTTGCTGGGTTGCTTGGTAGGGCATCTGAGTACAAATTTGAAGTGGTTGGAATATACCAAATCTGTAACACATGGTGTATCACAGTATCGAGACAGTAGGCCAAGAGGAACCACCACATCATATTAGGTGACCTTTGTGCTTTTGGATTAAGGAGGTGAGGTGTTGAGCTACAGATGTCCAACCAATAGATGTTTTTTTTTTGGAGCTACATTTCACCTGGCCCAAACCTAAACAATAATCCGAACATCGAATGTTCTTTTCATTAAGGAAATTAGGCCATCCACATCCACCAACATATAACATTAGAGCATGTTTGAACCAATCGATGTTAGTCTGAAGCTATCTTAATCTGGCTAGAACCTACAGAACAGGCGGCTGTGTAATCCAGGCAGGCTTGAGTAAGGAGTACAGAGTAGTGTCTTGCTTCATCCCCACCCACACAGGCACACAAACCAAAGAAGGAACATCTTGTACTACTAGTACTGTAGCAGGCGGGCAGAGAATGCAGGTGCAGGTGGTGAGAAGAAGAGCAAGGTAGGGACCTGGCGTGGATGATCTTGACGCTGGTCTTCATGCCCGGCCTGGACCAGTTGTAGGCGATGGAGCCGACGATCCCGCTGAGCCACAGCGTCCCTGCAAGCGCAAGCGAACCATGCAACAAAGGCATCAATTCCATTCCACCGCGAGAACGTCGGCGCAGCCGCGCAGGAGAGAGGAGAGGGGAGGAGGAGAGGAAGGAGAAGAGAGGATCTGGAAATTACCGACGGCCCGGAGCTTGTGCTCCACGACCCACTCCCTCGCCGACTGCAGCGCGCCCTTCTCCTCCGCCATGTCGCCGGCCGGCCGGAAAGCTTCCCTCGTGAGTCTTGAGTGAGTCCTGAGCTGAACCTCTCGAATCGAGCCCCGAGCCTTGCTTCTCCGCGCGTGTCTTGTCTTCCTCCGCGACGGGGGAAGGAAGAGGAGTAGGGGAAGGAAATACGCCGTGGACCGTGGCCTGGATCCGGACTGCAGGAAAGTGAAGGAAACAGCGTGCGGCTTCGGGTTAGCGCCGTTGCTCCAACTTTTTTTTTCCTCTATGTCACTGTCGTTAGTCTTGGCTCTAACGTCATTAAACTGTAGGTGTGAAAAAACGAAAATACCTTTAAGTTTAGATATGTCATTAATTTTTTTAAGCATCTTAACGACTTCAAATGAAAAACTCAAAACTAGAAAGTTGCAGATATCGTCGAGATCTATAATTTTCATATAAAAATTATCTTCATTTAATTTCGCAAAAAAAGATATGAATTTTTTAAGATATATTAATCATATCAAATCATATTTTTTGTGGAATTAAATGAAGATAATTTTTATATAAAAATTATAGATCTTGATGAGATCTACAACTTTCTAGTTTTGAGTTTTTTCATTTGAAGTCGTTAAGATGCTCAAAAAAGTTAATGACATATTTAGATTTAAGGGTATTTTCGTCTTTTCACACCTGTAATTTGACGGTGTTAGAGCTCAAACTGACTGCAGTGGCATGGAGGACATAAAAAAAGTTAGAGCAGTGACGCTGAAGATCGCTGAACTTTTTCAAAAATACACAGGGCATTACGATATTTTTTAACGGCACACAGAGAATTCCCTCTCTTTTCTGCTCCTGGGCTCGTGACAGCGGCCAGTAGGATATATGGTCATATAGGATCTGTTCGGCTTACTTTAAATTCGACTTATTCAACTTCTTTTTTTTTAACTAAAATAATATTTTTCTCTTACAATATTTTAGCCAAAACAATATTTTTTAGTCTTTCAGCAAGCCGAACGGCTAGGACCACATAGTTGCGGCGCGCAGGAGATCGGAGGTCGTGACGCAACCTCCACCAGCCGGCTTGGCTGAAATGGGTAATGGCTACAGTACACACATGCAAAAAATGGACGCGGCACGGAGGCGGGGGCTGGCAGTTTTGGCGGTGTTTAGTTGGCAAAGTTTGCGTAGGTAAATTTTGTAAAGTGAAAAATTTCTATTGTAGCATTGTGTTTGTATTTGTGAATTATTGTTCAAACATTGATTAATTAGGTTTAAAAGATTCGTCTTGTAAAGTTAAAGTAAACTGTACAATTAATTTTTGATAGTACTCCATGCATATACCTAAGTTTAATGTGACGGAGAATTTTCTTTTTATATAGTGTATTTTTTATAAGTTTAGAGAAACTAATAAGGGCTCTGTGTTGGTCTGTTTTCATCGAACTCAACAAATCAGTGAATAAAACAAACAGGGCCGGAATCTCGGTGGGCACCGCCGCACCGGGCAGTGGCGGAGTTGGTAGAATCATGTACTGTACGCGGTAGTAACCAATAGTATACCATAGTACAGTTCTATAATCTAATAAAGATGAGATATATTTTGGCATGTCGGTGATATTGTCGTATTATAGGTGGAGGAGCATAGAATGATTTAACGACAAAACTGCTGCCTTGGCACATGGAAGTCCCGTGGCCAAGAGCAAATGACTGGTTTAAGGGTAAAATTGTTCCTTATGTTGATATATTATGGGCTTAACCCGTATAATATTTAATAAATTAAATAAAACTCTATGGTACGTAATCTAAAGCGTTGTATGATTTAATACCATATATGATTTTGACTGAACGTTGACTCAGCTTATATGGTTGGAAATTATTCATCTTAATTGAGAAGCTGAGAAAAGGACATAGGCGTACCGCGCGCGTGCGCCGCCGCCGGCGGCCGGGCCGTGGGCGCGGACCGAGGCTGTGGCGAGCGGGCGGACGTGGCCAGTCTTTTGCCACTTAATCCATATAATCACGGGAGTTTCTCCCTTTGACTGTGGAAACGAACTGATTGCGTCAGTTACCGTCCCTTCCGCTTCAACGTCTCCAGGGATTCTCCGCTGCCTTTCTCCCTTTCCGTCGCGGCCATATATCCGTAGTCCTTCGTCAGTCCAGATCTCAGTCTTCCATAACCGCTCCCGAGAAAAACCATATCTCAGCAGCCCTTTGGCTTCTTCGTCCCGTACCTCTGCGCGCACAGAGTAGCGGGAGAGCAGGTGCCTCTGGAACCATCGTCCGCCTGAGAACCTTGCACGGGGTATGCGCGATTAGGTTTTTAGGGAGCGATTCGCAACTGCTCGTCCACGTACGCCTTCTTCCTGGTGGTGATCGCTCTCGGAACCCATCTTCTTCCCGGTGATTGCCTGCGGAACAGCAAGGCGTCTACTTCCTGGTGATCCGTTCGTGGGACTGCACTGCGAACATCGTCCTGCATCGACTGTGGTCTACGACTTCGAGCAACACACTATGTCGACTAGTGCGAATGGAGCCTCCGATGCCCTCAGCATGGGACCCTCCGCTGGGTATAATCTAATTTCTGTTATTATTGTACTTCGTGCTTTTACTGTATTCATCTGTATGTCATCTCTGTATGCTGTAGCATTTGTTAGAGATATACACATTCACATATATGCGGTCATGAACCTGCTGATGTTATATTTCTGGATTAAATTGACTATAAAAATGTCTAAATTTCTAACAATCTAAAAACCTAATCTTAGGCAATTTTCTGTCAGTGGTTTTGCTGCTGCTTTGAAGACAAATAATTTTGATGGCAAGAATTTCATGATACGACGTGTCAAGATAGTATTGTGGTTGACTGCGATGAACTGCTATCACGCCACACAGGGGAAGCCTGAACAGTTTACTTCTGAGGAGGAGCAAAAGTTCTTGGCTGCCGATAACCTATTTCGAGGCGCCGTGATTAGTGCACTTCATCATAAGTATGAGAAAAACTACATATCTTGCATATCTGGCAAAGATTTATGGGATGCTCTTAAGGCAAAGTTTGGAGTTTCTGATGCTGGCAGTGAGTTGTACCTTATGGAGCAGCTGTATGACTACAAAATGGTTGAAAACCGTTCTGTAGTCGAACAGGCTCATGAGATACAGGCGCTAGCAAAGGAACTAGAATATTTTTCATGCCTGTTGCCCGATAAGTTTGTGGCCGGCTGTATAATCGCCAAGCAGCCACCTTCTTGAAGGGATTTTGCTACTTCTCTAAAATACAAGAGACAGGAGTTTAGCGTGGCTGAACTTATCAAATCTCTTGATGTTGAGGAGAGGACGAGAGCAAAAGACAATCGTGGAAAGGGAGTTGAGTCTTCCACTGCCAATATGGTACAGAAAAAAAAAACTCATTTGCATCCCATAATAAAAAAAAGAAGAACGTGCAAGAGAACAACAATGCAAAGCCTAAGCAAACTGCACAGTTTAAGAAGAAAAATAATAAGAAAGGTGGAGGTTGCTTTGTTTGCGGTAGTGATGAGCATTGCGCAAGTACGTGCCCAGACCACAAATATAAGCAAGAAAATCAATCAGCAAACGTGGTGATTAGCAAGACTGGATGAGGAACATCTGGGTATGGTAATTCTTTACCTTTTGTTCTCTTAGTTTGTCTTTCACCTGAGTGGTGGATGGACAGCGATGCTAATATTCATGTGTGTGCTGATGTTTCTTTGTTTACTTCCTATCAGGCCGGCAAGACTGAAGCCTTGCTGATGGGAAACGGTTTGCATGCGCGTGTTCTTGGTGCTGGTACGGTCGTTCTGAAGTTTACTTAGGGAAAGATGGTGCTATTAAAGAACGTGCAGCATGTCTCCTTCATCAAGAAGAATCTTGTTAGCGGTTCTCAAATGTGTTGTGATGGCTTTAAAATTGTGCTTGAGTCCAATAAGTGTGTTGTGTCGAGACATGGAACATTTGTTGGAAAAGGTTATGATTGTGGAGGCTTCTTCCGCTTATCTTTGCTTGATGATGTGTGTAATAAAGTGGTGAATAATGTTAATGTTTCGGATGAGTCGAATATATGGCATTCACGACTTTGTCACATTAATTTAGGTTGTCTCACGCGGCTTGTAAATCTAAATTTAATCCCAAAATTTAACTTAGTCAAAGATTCTAAGTGCTAGGTGTGTGTGCAATCGAAGCAACCGCGCAAGCCTCACAAGGTTGCTGAGGCGAGGAACTTGGCACCATTAGAACTCGTTCATTCTGATTTATGCGAAATGAATGGTGAATTAACTAAAGGCGGTAGACGATACTTCATGACATTTATAGATGATTATACTAGATTTTGCTACGTGTATTTATTGAAAACTAAAGATGAAGCGTTGTATTATTTTAAAGTCTAAAGCTGAGGTAGAAAATCATCTTGAGAAGAAAATCAAGCGTTTACGGTCCGATCGCGGGGGAGAATATTTCTCAAATGAATTTTCTGAGTTTTGCGCGGTGCATGGAATTATTCATGAGGACGCCACCATACTCACCACAGTCCAATGTGATTGCAGAGAGAAAGAACCGCACTCTAACTAATTTGGTTAATGCCATGTTAGTGACTACGGGGCTATCTAAGGAATGGTGGAGTGAGGCTGTATTGACAGCGTGTCATGTCCTGAATAGAGTGCCCACAAAGAACAAAGAAATTACACCATTCAAGGAATGTGAGAAGAATAGATTAAATCTCTCTTACCTGCGAACTTGTGGTTGTTTGGCAAAGGTGAATGTGCCAATAAACAAAAAGCGAAAACTTGGACCAAAGACTGTTGATTGTGTTTTTCTTGGTTATGCTATTCACAGCGTGGGTTATAGATTTTTAATTATAAATTCTAGTGTTCCTGAGATGGTTGTTGATACAATCATAGAATTTAGAGACGCTACATTTTTTTAGAATGAATTTCCCATGAAAAATGCACCTAGCACGACTGGTCGTGAATTTATAATTCCCCATGAGCATGAAAATTTTACTCCAATAGAACAAACTGAGGAACCCTATATGCAA